GAATTTCAGTGAATAATAAATATGAATTTTGATTTAATTAAATTGATTTAATTGTTATTTACCCACTATATTACCTATTCATAATTTTTATGAGACGTTTTATACTTTTCTTTTCTTTTAATTCGATTTTATAGTACTATCTTTTACTGTCACCTTAATACAACGACCGATAAAATATCGAGTCAACCAAATACTATGCTACATTATGGTTATCTATTTATTTTATTTTTGAGAAATAATATTCTGGTTATTAGTCTTATTGTAATAATTAATGTTTGAACTTTTAGATGATAAGATCATAGAAATTTATAAAACAAGAACACACCATATTGAATTTTCAACTCTCGGTTGCAGCCACGAGACGGAATTTCCGGAGTCAACTAGTTGACTTTTGATGGTGAAGCGTTCACACAATCACACTCAATATTTTTATTATTTTAGATTTGATAGTTAAGCTACTGAATTGTTGAACAACAAATAACAAATAAAAAATTACTACCACTGGATGATTGATTATTATTTTAGAGTTGAAAGTTAGCTACTTAGATTGTTTAAAGATTTGTTGGCATGTATAGATTGTTTGGCTGAAAAAAAAAATTAAAATTCATATAAGAATCTTCATTTCTTTATAAATATTTAAAGTTTTTGGATTTTTGGGGTCTTTTTATTTAGTTTACTTTAGAAGATTTCTCATGCAAACAATTTTTCTTTTTGCTTTTGTTATTTCCTTTGAAAGAGAAAGCTACTAACGAAACTGTTTTTGCTTATGTCATTGTCAACCTTACGGAAGTCAAGTTTGTAAATCGCATTTACTGACTTCATGAACAAAAAGAAATTCGCCTTTATGACTTTTTGAAAATAAATTATGGAAAAAAAGAAATACTATTAATTTCGAAACAGTGCGTAGCGAAATCCCACTAGAATATTATTTTGTATAAAGTTTACTTAGAATATTAACGCAAACATCAAAATACCATATCTCAAACTCTGACATTTACGTTTACGATTGGCAATTGAAGTATTTAATTTACCTCACCATTCGTCTTACAATTGTGACATGTGTTTAGGCGGTTCTTTCGCCTACTTGAGAGTTGAGCTCGGCGACTTCATGGCTTTCATCGCCGCCGGAAACATAATCTTAGAGTACGTAGTTGGCGGAGCCGCCGTGGCAAGATCATGGACCTCTTACTTCGCCACACTCTTAAACCATAAACCTGACGACTTCAGGATCATAGCTCACTCTCTAGGCGAAGATTATGGCCACTTAGATCCAATCGCGGTCGGCGTTTGCGCAATCATTTGCGTTTTAGCCGTTGTTGGCATAAAAGGCTCCTCTGTTTTCAACTACATTGCTTCAATAATCCACATGGTCGTGATTCTATTCGTAGTCATCGCCGGATTTACTAAAGCTGATCTCAAAAACTATTCTGTCTTCGTTCCTTTTGGTGTGAGAGGAGTGTTTAAATCCGCTGCGACACTATTTTTCGCGTATATTGGATTTGATGCGGTCTCTACGATGGCGGAAGAGACGAAGAATCCGGGAAGGGATATTCCGATTGGTCTTGTCGGATCGATGGTTGTTACTACGGTTTGTTATTGTCTTATGGCAGTCGCGTTGTGTCTTATGCAACCGTATTACCAGATTGATCCGGACGCACCGTTTTCGGTTGCGTTCTCTGCGGTTGGATGGGATTGGGCTAAGTACATCGTCGCGTTTGGTGCTCTTAAAGGTATGTTTGTGTTTATACTTCCAAATAACTCACAATTTGAGCATCTTAATCAAAATTTATTTGCTAATTGTAAACGTAAATGTTAGATTCAAATTCGATATTTCTATTTTGTTTTGGATTGGATCAATTTGATTTCTCCGAATTGAATATCAACCTTTGCAACTTTTGCAGGTATGACGACAGTATTGTTAGTTGGAGCCATTGGTCAGGCTAGGTACATGACACACATAGCTCGAGCGCACATGATGCCTCCATGGCTAGCTCAGGTCAACGCAAAGACCGGAACACCGATTAACGCGACCGTGGTAATGCTCGCCGCGACAGCTTTCATCGCATTCTTCACAAAACTAGGAATCTTAGCCGATCTCTTATCGGTTTCCACACTTTTCATCTTCATGTTCGTCGCCGTGGCTCTTCTCGTTAGGAGATATTACGTTTCCGGAGAAACATCTTCCAGTAATCGGAACAAGTTCTTAGTGTTCTTAGGTTTGATTCTCGCCTCCTCGATCGCGACTGGTGTGTATTGGGCGGTCGAAAAAGAAGGTTGGATTGGGTATTGCATTACGGTTCCTATATGGTTTTTGTCTACCGTTGGGATGAAGTTTCTTGTACCGCAAGCTAGGGCACCGAAAATTTGGGGTGTTCCTTTGGTTCCGTGGTTGCCTTCTGCTTCGATCGCCATTAATATCTTCCTTCTTGGTTCGATCGATAAAAAATCCTATATTAGGTTTGCGATATGGACAGCTTTTCTTCTTGTTTACTACTTCTTGTTTGGCTTGCACGCTACGTATGATACAGCTAAAGCGACTTTGAAGGAGAAGGTTGCTTTGCAGAAAGCTGAAGAAGGTGATATTGTTGTAGATAAATCTGGTGCTGCATCAAATACCAATGCTTAGCTGATTTGTTATACAGATATGGTCCTTCATCGCCCTTGGCCTTGTTGTCGGATTATTCATTTGGCTTTAGGGTTTACGTTGCGTGTTTCATAAGTTTGTAAGATCGCTTGGTTTGTTTAGCTTTGCAGTACATGTTAGTAGTTTTTCACGTTTGCTTTAAACATGATAATTAAGGTCTGATTTAAAAACTAATGCTTTTTAATTAGTTACCAATAAGCACTCCTATTTTTATAGCTTAGACAATTTTTTGTTGTTCAAGGGGTATTCCAAATAGAAACTCGTAGAGTATGTTCACCGGATTTGCTAATGGACCTAAAATACGGTACATATTATTTGATCAAACGAGAATTAAATAATTTTGATGGGCAATCGAAATCGATATAAAGGAAGCGAATTAATATGCATCATAGTGTTGAAATAGTGTTGAAATTTTTTATCACCATACCATTACCGTTTGGTTATACATCAAACTAGGTGATCGACCCGCACCGTATGTGGGTATGAATTTTTTTAGAGAATAAATGTCTTTTAGTACT